TACAGTCAATATCTGAAATTGTTATAAAGGAGCAAAATTTTATTTACCGTTAGCTGCTCGTAGATTTTATCCAAAACTTTCTCTGCCTCGTCGATATTCGTCAAACCTTCCTCAGTTATATCGCGTGCATCATTCGCCGTCACGTCCACAGTTTGATAGATCTTGTCAATCGTATTTAATTGCTCACGCAGCTCGCCTAGCTGTTCCACTAACGTTTTATTCTCACCTAATAAAGGTATTAGCTTTCACTTTTACAATAATATAAGCAAAATCACAATATTAAATATTTATAGGGTAAAACTCCTGTTTAGGGGAGGCAGCTCCAATGACCTTGATATGTTGTCATATGTTGTCAAGATCATGACCCTGAACAACATTCAAAAGATTTTAGTCGTCGCTCGTTGTTTGTTAAAAAGTTATTAACAAATGTAACTGAGAAATATAATAGTTTGTGTCAATGCTAAAGAAAGTAATTTGCTAATATGTGTATAGATAATACACATGTAGGCGTGGGAGGGGCTACCGCTCCTTCCCCTGCTGCAGGAGTGAGTGGGGTGGATCTCGGTTCGTGGAAAGTTGAAAACCCGAACCGTACAATAATAGACCTAGTTTCGTCCTGTAAGCAAAGCAAGGGTGAGGTGGATCTTGCTTTGCGTGGAGAGTACAATGCTATCCAGAAAACCATCCACACGAAACGAGGTCCACCCTACCTCACCCCTGCTTACAGGGCGAAATGAGGTCTATCATTGTATAATTCGGGTTAGGTTGGTTTTTTCGGGGTGGGAGTGCAGGGGGAAGGGCGGAGCCCCCCTGCCCACGCATTCAATAAATAATATTTACAAAATCATACAATTATGGTTAAAGCATACTTTGTATTCATGCTTTCTAACACATAAAAAAATTGTATATATACTTTTCTATACCAACTATTCTCTGCTTTAACAAAAAGACTTCAATATATTAACGATTTATTGTTTTAAAAGACTTCATTCATATATTTCCACATATATATTAGTCGTTTATGCCTTTCAATACTCAAAATAACTACTATATTTTTCAAAAAATTTTTTATTAATAAATTTTTAATAAAGAACGAGCGAACAATGTAAAACTTTTTGAAGGTTATTCAAGAGAGTGACCTTTATAATATATGTCAAGGCTATAGGAGCTGCCTCCCCTAAACAGGGGTTTTACCATTTATAGTTTTCATTAAAATAATTTTAATAATTTTTAGATAATTTTTCATTATTTAATTATATATAATTATTATCTAATTTCCAATTCAAAATAGATGACTAATAATATTTACTGCCAGATCCTCGCTTGGCGATAGTCAATAACGTTTTTACTCGATCTTGTACGTTCTTGAGCTCCTTCTCGAAATCTGAATCCTTAATGACAGTTGGACTGCTATTGATCTTATAAAGGGTATCTTCAAGTTCAGCCAAACGTCGTCGGTGATCATTGACTGCCGATTGTACAAGATTGTAACAATCGGGACAGTCAATACAACCGTGCTGACGGTTATGCTTGTTTTCCTTACAGCGATCACAACGCCTGCCTTCAACGTTCGTCAAGCACTACCGACAATCGTCAAAAGTATTAAACAAAAGATAAAAAGGAGCAAATTTATTGTGAAAAAAAATAAATAACTAAAAAATAATAAAATTTTTATGTAAATTTACAGTTGATTCGATTTATACCACAACTGCGCAAACACGTAATTTTAATTTAAATCCTAGTAATTGCCCATTTTGTTACATTTGTACAAAATTATTTAATTTTATATAGGTATAGATACTTACAGGACATTGTCCGTTTGCATCACATTGCAAATCCTGGGAACCGATACTGTCGCAATCGCAAGGCTTGCAGCCCTCACGGCTAAATCCGTACTGATAGGGTTCACAGGCATCACAATGTTGACCCGTTATTCCAAGTCGGCACTGACATTGTCCTGTTATCGGGTCACAAGTGCGATTATAAGAACCTTCCAAATCGCAGTTACAAGGCGTGCAACCCTGGGATACAAAGATGTACCTTTTACTAAGGCAATTTAAAAACAATTTTAAAAGAAGTAATATACAAATTTTTGTACATGAAATAAACAACACGTTAGTTAAAGTGTTATTTGATCAATAACTTGATAATTCATTGTATCAGTTATCATTAAATTATCTCTATTCTTTCTTTTATTTTAATTTAGCAGACTTTACCTCCCCGCTCATAATATGGTAATAGCCTTCCTCGCATTTATCGCAATTGCGACCTATAACGTGTGGCTTACAGACGCAATGTCCCGTTAATTGATCGCACGGCGCGATTCTTCCATCCTCAAGTTCCAAAGTACCCGGTGGATAACACTGACACAACTTACACCCGTCTTCCTTGCGATCCGACAATGCGTCTCCGTAATATCCTATTATACAAAACATAACAATATAAAATATAATCGAACACACATATTATATATTATAGAAATTTGTGGAAGAAATATTATATAATGGATCTTTATGAAATAGTTCTCAATTTATATTTACCGGCTAGACATTCCTCACAGTGAAAGCCAGCTGTATTATTGACGCATTTAAGACATTCTCCCGTCTCGTGATTACAATTTCTAACTGCATTTAAGTCGATATTGTTGTTACAATCGCAAGGACGGCAAGCGAGACCTCTTTCAGGATTCCCGTAGTAACCATCGGAGCATGTTTCACATCTAGGTCCTACACAAGAACGTACATTTTATGACCTTTAATCAATTAAAAAAAAAGAGAGAGAAAAGCAAGAAATATTAATAGACGCTATCTTTATAGATATATTAATAGATGCTTATCTTAGATGCTTATGTTAAAGTACTTGAAGAAGGTATTTGTAAAAACTATACACATATACTTACCAGTCCTGCCAATAGGACATTCGGAGCAGATAGGATCCGGATTGTTGCCTAGAAGAATGCAAGGCCCATTGTCGGGACAAGGGCACGGTTTGCAATCGTCCGAGGTTCCTTTCAATGGATAACCATAATATCCTCTACTACATAGCTCGCAATTGCTTCCTGCGGTATTATGCTGACAGATACATTGCCCTAAAATGTAGGGAAAAAATATCATATTCGAAATATTATTAAACACTCTAAAATGCCTATATTTATGTGAGTTTATCACCCTTTCAGAAAAATTAGATAAGAGCAAGAGTCGAAACACTTGCGATATGCTCGAAAAGTCGTTAAAGTTATTAGACGAACGTAATTTGACAAATAATGCGATAATAAATAAATTTGATTCAAATTTCGCGTTTTCCAGAAGATTATAATCGCAAAGAATTAAAACTAAAAAGTTACTTTATCTCTAGAGTTTAGTTTGATTTATCTCTCTTTAAAGCGTATAATGTAATAAAATTTAATTACCAGTCTCAGCCTCGCAAATATCGGCATGTCCATTGCAGTTGCAAGGAACGCAAAGGGCGAAGGGACCACCATTGGGCGGGTCGTGGTGAAATCCGGGCGCGCATGACTCGCAAAACTGACCGACGTAGCCATGAGGACACTGACAATGTTCCACCCAATCGGCCGGCTCGCCGGCTGCGCCACGATGAGCCGTCTCTAATTTCACATCGTCCAAAAATCCTCGGCCTTGATGCGTATAAGTCCCGCGGATCTTTATGGCGGTCAAGTTTGACAAAATTGACATGAAAGCACGAGAAGATAATCGCGGTTGCCAGCCGTAAGTGCCATGCTCGTGTAACTTGAACCGATATTCTTGAGGCTGTAAAGATAAAACATGTTAATGCAATACTGTAAGAAAATGAAGTAAAGATAAAAACACTCACTGTAACAGTCGGTAAACGATTTTTCTGGCCAAAGATCGGTTGCGTGATTTGCTCGCCATTTCCACCTTCTAAAATTACATCGCGTGCCGTAGGAGCCGGACCAGTTTCCCCTATCCTCAGTATGAACGATATATCCTGATTGTATGACGCTCGTTGGTCTCCCAGAAATTTATCAGGCGCGAGGAAGTATACGTTGTCACGGTCAAGCGCGGTAACCGAAACCGTCTGCGTCAATGCATCGTAATGCAACGGAATCGGATTACTGGCTACGGATGCGGACCAGCGCTCGTTTCCTCGTACGAACATACTCTCGATGAATAGTTTCGAGTAACCGGTCGCTGGCCGACAGACCGAGGAGTGGCCGTAACAGAAACAGGGAGTGCAGCCGAACTCATTATCCACTGCCAAATTGAAGAAACCTGGTCGACACCTAATCAATTTTGGCATTCAATTAGTGGATTTCGATTTTTTAGCAGAAGGAAAAATCAACAGAGCCTAATTAAAAATAAAATTAAAATTTGCGATAATGAAAATTGATTACACACTAATCAAAGAATAGTTATTGCAAATGTGCGAGAAGTTCTATATAATCTAAACATATAATATTTCAACTATTTTTTAATAATAATGTAAGCTAAAAAATCAAAAAGCTATAAGTTTATCATTTAATATAAGTTCGCAGTCAATATGTTAAAGTGTGAGTCGGTTAATTTAATATTCTATCTCAAAAAGATATGGCTTGATTGAATAGTTGAAGCATAAGAAGACTAACTCTCTGCAGCGTTTTCCCTCGACGTTTTCTTTACAGACGCAAACCCCCGTGACAGTATCGCAGTTGGGAACGTTGTCTACCGACCCTGCCAAGCTGCACTCGCAGGAGGTACAGCCCTGTGAGCCGAAATTGTAGAAATTGGCCGCACAGCGATCACATTTATCGCCTGTTACGCCAGGTTTACATTGGCATTTACCCTCGCTGTTGCACTGCAAGCTTCTCGAACCTACCATTTATTAAATTTTAATTTATTATCCTATTATAAAAGAGTTTGATTTAGGATAGAATTAATCTATATTTATATCAGGGAAAACTGTGATGTTAATTTAAAGGACCCCGCACATACCTTGGAAATTGGCTGAAATTTTAGAAATAGATGGTTTTTATGATGCTGATCAAAAGTCACAATGAGTAAGATTCACAATAAAATCAACCGTTAAGCGCTATGAGTGTTCAAAAGTAAAACATAAGAGGTCTGTTCTATTTAGCTGAACTTCTTGCACAATTCATCTTTTTTCTTTTTCTCTCCAACGTAAAAAGAAAGAGATAAAAAATAAACCGCAAGAAGTTCAATTAAAAAGAACAGGCCTAATGTGTAATTTCAGTGCTATTGCGGGACAGTGGATTACAATGTATTATTCTGCAGAATCACACAACTTATTCTTTTTATTAATACAAAAATATGTATTTATGTGAAAAAATATGTACAT